CAAAAGTTAAGACATGATATCACAATAAACGTAAAATGAACACATAAACCTATCACATTCTAATCCCTTTGTCTGTTGGCAAAATAATGCATGTAAATATACTCTGACGCTCAGTCTGACGGTGTAAAAAGCGTGACGTGACGTCTGACGTCACAATTGTCTTTGATCACTACACGTGAATTATTCATACCGCTCCCCCGGGATCTCATAACGCCTGACAGAACCGCAACTCAAAGTATAGTTATAGCAATAAATATTATACTATTAAATTGAAATATGGATTAATTATTTTAGAATATTTAACTAAATGAAGCTCCTTAAAATGGTTAATTTATATAATGTATACAATTGCTTGATATAGTCAGATATTTTGCTTTTGAGTTGAGTCCCAAATAAAACAAATGAATGTTCAGAAAGTTACAACTCCTTCCTCATCTCACCTTTAGTCTATTAACCGTGGGTTTCTTAGACCAAAATATTGTCATCTCTATGATCTTGACAAAACAGAGATAACAAAATATTTTAAACAGAGATTTTGGCCTTAGAAACCTACGATAAGTAGCCTTTGTAGCATCTGTAACTACATATAGAGTCTGATAAGGACATGGAGTCTTTCATATCTACTAACTAGCAGGAATAAGTCATTTGATGGTGGAGTATTAAGTAAATTTCAAAATCAACACCGGAAAAATTATTAAATTTTTTTACGAATTCATCAAAGAGTTTATTGCAAATAAACACTGACGTTTTTATATTTTTCGATTATAAAATATCAATAAAGGAATTACATCTTAATAATTAATAACAAGTTAAATAAAACCTTGTGCCCCGCGGCGTTACTTCAGCTTACTCGAGTCCTTTGAGAATTTTTAAGAAGATTAAAAGAATCATTAGCTATTCTCACTTTGGAGTCGGAAGCGTTCGCTAGAGTTTGCAGGAGACAAGAGATTAAAGCAAACCCCGAGGCAAAGACTTGTCTTTAGCCAAGCACTGCGTGAGTTTATAAGACGTATAATACAAACGAAATTCATGTTTAAATATTCATATTGAGTTTAATATAGACATAAATATATGGTCATTTTTATGGTTTGTTCGAAATTTAAAATTTTATAACACGATTGGCACTGATCAGATATGATAACATATCGTTTGATAAATTAAAAACCAATTGATTTAAAATCGATATTAATTTAAAATAGTAATAATAATAAAGAGATAGAAACCTTAAGTTAGAAGTTAGTTTATTCTATTTACGTGTACAAATTTGGGGATATCATAATGTTTTAATTATCTAACCCTAAGTAAGCAAATAACAGAAAGTTAATTAACGTTTGACAAAGTACACAAAGACGATGCCTCAGGGCTGTGTCTTAAGACGCTGACTCTGGTTGAGATGTTAAAAATTATAACGCGGTTATCAAAGATTATATTAGAGTAAGCAATTCGCAATATTTATTTATCATGTAGTAGAGATCTGTATGGATTTGATACTATAACAATATGTAATTTTGTTGTTTAAAATGGTCATATTTCATTAAAATTATTCATAATATTCATCACGAATCATTCGTCATTTTCCTATAATATATAATACTAGCGGACCCGACAGACGTTGTCTGACAATTTGACACTGCGATGGTAGCGCCGTCTGTCGGATCCAATGTAAAACATTCCAAAATCAACAACTACTAATAAATTAAAAATTAATTAAAAAAACATTGTCCAGCGGACAAAATTGTGAATCTAAACCATTCCCAGATCCCCTTGAACACACACAAAAAATTTCATCAAAATCGTTCCAGTCGTTTGAGAGAAGTTCAGTGACATACACACTCACAGAAGAATTATATATATATAAAGATATTTTAAATAAAAAAAATCACACTATCTCGCTACGCTTTGAATTTTGTTATAATAATATGTCGTTTTTAAATCAGAAAATAGAAAAAAAAGTAGCTCCACTTATGATTTTTAAATTGAAACAATAAACAGGTCTGTTTAATCCGGAATCACGAGGCATATCAAATTCGGGGCTTAGTAGCAGGGGATTAGAGGAAAGGGACTAACCGCACAGTTTGTCAAACCCTAATTAATAAACTAAACGCTTCCCGAGTCAGGAATACGTAAACTAAACCCGCCCGGGGCCCTGTCTGTCTGCAAGACAATGTTCATAACAATTTAAGCAAGTAATATCTTGAACGTATAACTAGCTAATAACTTATTGTTATGAACTTAAAATTTCATAATAACAGCCCGAAACAAATTACGATAGTTAAACCAAAATAATTTTCCGACATTTATTATATTGACTTAAATTATCTTATATCTTTAAATGAGCTATTCTTGTATATATATATAATTGGAATCTCGGAATCGGCTCCAACGATTTTCATAAAATTTAGTATATAAAGGGTTTCGGGGGCGATACATCGATCTAGGTAGGGATCATTTTTAGAAAATATAATTTTATTCGTGTTTTATCGATAATCAACTTAAAAATGAACTTAACTTTTTCTATCGGTAAGATCGAAAAATATTATTCATATTTCATCAGTAATTCGTACTTAAATATAATTTTCAAAAAACACAATTAAAAAAAAAAACATCCAGGTAGATGGATGAATGTTTGTTTGAAGGTATCTCCGGAAGAGCTCAACGGATTTTGATGAAATTTGGCACATATGTAGAACATAGTCTGGAATAACACATAAACTACTTATTAAGCTTTTTTTTAATTTCGCGTAGATAAAGCCGCAGGTGACAGCTAGTAATTTTAAAAAATATTCAAAATCTTTATATGATTTACTTGACTTGGCTTAATGTCTTATGTCCCCATAGTGGGGCAGAGGCAGTATCTTTCTTTTATAAGAGAAGGGGGCAAACGAGCGGCGGCCACCTGAAATCGCTGAATAGCGAAGTGACCGTTGCCCATGGACATACGCAATTGCATATGCGTTGCCTACCTTTAATCGACGGAGGAGAGGATGCACAGAAAGAAAATATTTTCCCCTTCCATGCATCCTCTCATCCGGAAAGTCCACTTCCACTTCTCATCCATTCCTTATGAGAAAAAGAGTGGGAAGAGAAAGAAGACTAAATTAGGCCTCCGGGACGCACACTCATCAGACGAAACGCGGAATTGCTTCCACTTCACGCCTGTCTTCTGTGTGGCCGTGGTATTTCACCGGGCGAGCCGGGCCGATTCGTGCGAAGATGTTAAAGCGGGCTCTACCACTGTTAAACATATATAAAACAAGTTGCATTATAAAGTTATAAACGTCAACTGTATATGTATTAAATTAATCAACATTGTTTCTTTTAAAATGCCTCGAGGATTTGTTTGATAAATAATCGATATTTTGATGTTGATTAACGATCTAAACTCGTAATCAAAATAAATGCTAAATTAAAAGCCATTGCCGATCCAAAGAAGAAAAACAAATGACTTTTTGAAGTTTTCAAGGCGTTTTGTCAAATACAGCGTGTTATTAAATACTTCTTACTAATATTATAAATGCTAATTTCGAAGGATATTTGTTAATTCCGTAACGGATAACAGTTTCAGGATTATTTTTTTCTTTAATTCTCATTTTTTAATTTTACTCGAAACAAAGGCGCGGGCTATAGTTAACCCGAAAATATATTAGCGTTTAATATGAGATCTAAAATTCGATGTCATAATGGTATAGTAATTTTTTACATGACCTCGGAGTGGGAAATAAGAATTAACGTTTCGTACGTCGCCCTGTTATTAAATCATAACAGGTTAGAAACCGCAATTAGTTAAGTTCTCATGCCTGGATGACCGGCACAACGATTTACAAAGCTTTATTTCTATATTATTAACTAGCTGTTGCTTGCAACTCCGTCCGCGCGGAGGTAAAAAAACGTAACGTGTTCTTCCAGACTATGTTCTTAATCTATGCCAAATTTCAACGAGATCCGTTGAGCCCTTCCGGAGATATCAACAAACATCCATCCGAACAATCGCATTTTTAATATTAATATTATAAGATAATAGCGGTCCTTGCCGACTATAGATAAATGAACAAATTGTTAATTTTAAACGTTATAACAATATTAAATAGCCAATGGTATAAACAGATAATGTAGCAATCTGGTGGGGAAAGAATTTTTAAAATCGGTTCTGTAGTTTTTGAGTTTATTCATATTTTACAAAAATAAAAATCTGTCCTCTTTAAAATATTATAGTGTAGATGTAAGAAAACAATTCATCGTTATAGGGTGTTCTTTTTTATTTTGTAATTTACGATAAAATATTTGTGTCTTTTGTGACATTTTTATTTGGATATTCAAATATGCTTCTGTAAAATATCTCTTGTTAAAGTTAGTTAATAACTCAATATTATGCAAATAAAAACATTTTATTATGATTGTAATATTTTATAATTATCTTATTGTATATTAATAATTTTAATTAATTTCGTCCACTGATTGCTGCTACCCGTTTTAATTATATCAAATAAATACGAGTATTCGTTAGCATGTTTTACGTAGGCTTGATAGATACTAAAATATAAAAAGATCATTTTAAATGATATACTTATCACAAAAATATGTTTCATTTAGTATTTATGCAACTTTTATTTATTTAATTTAGATTTTTAAAAAGACTAAAAGTACTATTCAATTGTATATTTTCTTTCATTAAGTCTTTATAAAACAGTTGCTGTTAGTTATTCAAACATGTGGAAATTTGAGGAAGTTCAGTGGAATATTGATTTTAAGTGATGGTAATCGCCTCGTTTCATTTATTAGCATGGATAATTGTAGAATGTATACTTTAGTTATATTGGTTAGTCAAATATAAATAGTTTAGCGTAAAGCGTTAACCAAACGGAGCAACTAAGACAGATGCGCCGTTCCACTTGAACAAGCCCCCACGAGCCCAGTGCAGTTAATGTTAGCTATAATTAGGTTATGTTACAATTCGGCACGACTTACCGAGGCGTCCGCGTTGTCGTAAATAAAAAACAATGTTACGTTTTTTCCTCAATGAGTTTATTGCGTCAGAACAATAAATGAAGCTGATCAGTTATAACGTTTACTTTCAACATCGATTATACGAATACTCTACGCGACTGATATCGCACACCGCAGCCGCGCCGACTCCATTTAAATTTATAATATTGTATGTCCGTATTGCACTTCGGTTCACAAACACCCGAGCGGTCGCGTCCCTTATAACTTACAGTTCGTGGGATCCGATTACGATATATTTGTCTAAATATCACAAGAAAAAATACAAAACGAAATACTTAATAGAATTAACACAATTAATATTATTAACAATTAAATATACGAGAGTCTATGACGCGCCGACTTCTTCGAGAAATGAGGTATCACCATGCGCGGCGTGGAGGGCGCGGGGGGCGGCCGCGTCACGACACCGGCACATGGTGCTGGTACAGCTGCTCCTGTCGCTCGCACAGCGACGTCATCTTCTTGTAGGACTCGCTCGTCTCTCGAAAAAGCAGCTTAGCGTCGTCCCGCGGTCTGCCGTGTGCCGCGTCTAACCGACCGGGGGAGAGCACCGGCGGCGAGGACGCCGACAGTGGTGACATTGACTCCCGCGCCGATTGCGCTCCGGCTGGCGCGTACATCCCGCCCGGTTGCGGCGCCCCATGACCCATCAGGAATGGCCCGGGAAAAAATCCCCGATCCCCAAGCTGCGGTAGGAACCCCGACTGTAATGCGCTCAAATTCCGACTGTAAAACTTCATTGTCTCCGTGACGTAGGCCGGCAGTTGTGGGGACTCGTCGCCACCGTATCGAAGACTCTCGAGCGTCGACGCGAGACCTTTTATATCTGCGTACAATTTGTTGAGGAGCTCTGCGTTGACTTCGAAGGAGGGCCTCCGTTCCCGAGAGTCCGGCGGACCCGTCGAAAGCAATCGTCTGTGCAAATCGGCATTGGAGCTGTGCCGGTCCCTACTTCTTCGTGAAGGGAAAGCGGCATCGCACCCGTTAACGTCGCAGGGGTGAAGCAGTTTTAAGTGCTCGTTCCTGTAATGCATGCGCAGCGTGAAGTGATTCTGAAATATTTTGCCGCAAGCCGTGCATCTGTCTGGATTCTCATCGTCGATCGGTATTTCGAGATCATTGATGTCGGTGCGATCGTCGGCGAGATCGCTGTGGGATGAAGGCGAACGCGGACGCGCTAAACGCTCCTCTAGCGCCAGCAGGTCGCTTCCGCTGTCGCTCGGGGTATACAGGTCGGAGCGCAGCCGCAGCCCCTCGCGCACCACGCTCGGCGCACTCGACTCGTCGTCCGACTCGCTCTCGGCTTTTACTCGCGTCACCGTTTCCGCGTCCACAACCTCCTCGCCGTTCTGAAATGGCTCCCATTTTTCTGGCTTTTGTTTCTTGAGCGATAGGGGTTCCTCCTCTGTCCGGCTTGAGCCGGGGGTTGAGATGGTTCTAAATAAATCACTATTATATTCCTCGTCCGAAACACTGTACTCTACTGTGTTTTGTGAACACCGCGTGGGGTTGCCGCTCTTTCTCTTCCGTTTATTAGGAACAAGTGTCGACTTGTCGTCGCCGACGGTGGGTTCAGTTCGACCACTGGGTTCTAACTGCACCGTTGACTCGGCCTCCTCTCGTCGTTTATTTACACTCAAATCCTCGGGTTCGTCGTCGTAATTCAACCTGCTCATCGCCGGTGACTTAACATCTACTGTCACTTCTTCTTGCTTTTCTTTAGAGGTGCATTCAATATTTTCACTGTGTTTAATGCACTCGTCCTCGCGCGGTGGAGAAGGCTTAAGAACATCGAACACATGACGCGAGGACTCCTGAGGTGATGGTATCTTCCTATACATTTTCTCTATTTCACTGAAGTTGCGGAGGTCGTCGAGGGGAACTCGGGGAGGCAGCGATGTCGGTCCCGGTGGAGCAGAAAGCGCGGGAGGCAACCGGGCGGCCAGTTCGGGTGGCAACAGCGAGGGTGGCGGCAGAGGTAGCCGCGCCAGCGCAGGCAACAGTGGGAACGGTTGCGCAGAGCGGCCGTCATGCGCCGATATCTTGCGTCTCACGTGCGGTGAGTGCAGCTTGGGGTTCGGGTTAGCGCTGTGCCTGTTCCTCGAGCGGCGCGAACTGAACATCATGGTGCACCCCTCCACCGTACATTTGTGCATTTCACGCAGGTGCACCGCCGAGAAATGAATTTTAAGAGCTCCCTTGTCGCAGAAAGTTTTGAGACAGACATTGCACTGCACTCTCTTCTTGCCGGTGGCGGGGTTGACGAACTGCACGCCGAGGCCGAGCGGCCAGGGCGCGGGCGGCGGGTCGCGGCGCTCCGGCGCGTACTCCGGCGAGCGTGGCTCCTCACGCTCCTCCTCGCGGCCGCTGAAGCTGGCTCCCAACTTTCTGAAGTCGAACTGCGGCGCCGGTTGGCTGACGCGCGGCATCATGAAGTAGTCCAGACCGGCAGGTAGGCCGGGGACCGCACCGAACTCTTTGCCTTCCATCACGTCACTGTCATAATATAGCACGCGGTGCGAAGCGGGTGGCGCGCGACGCGGCCGCCTTGCGACTGAGGACGTGCGACACAGGTGACCGCGCGGGCGGCGCGCGACAAAGGCCGGCGCCGGGACGCGGGGCGCGGAGTGCGGCTAGGGCACGCGGGGGCGCGCGGGCGGCGGGCGCGGGTCCGGGTGGGAGGAGCGTGCGCTGGGCGGAGCGGATCGATGCGCAGTGGGGACAAGCGACATTCGCCCGCCGCCGCCGGCCGACCGCTGTAAACACAAGACGACTAAAACATCGCGTTACGTAACTACACACCACACTCGGGCCGAGGTGTACACGGCTGCGTCGACGGTGAGCACCGTCCCCGTGCCGCATTCATGTAGCAGACGAACTCCACACTACACATGTCCGGCGCTATTGCTTGCAGATCTATCTCCGGGTATATAGCTGAATTACAATGCTTAGGACTAAATTAGTTTAGATTAGATCTGTATCTACTGTTTTGTGTTACCTGCATATGTCTCGCATTACGTACATAAGCGAAGCTAACGGTTTCTTAAATATATCGTTTCAAATTTGAAAATATTTACAAAACTATAAGATAAAATGTTTTCTTTCTACACAAAATAGAAACGTATACAATCTTATAAGACTTTGCATTCCTGTACATTGCATATTGTCAATAACATTAAGGCAAGCTACAAATTTTTCGCTATTCTAAAGATGTCTTTTATATGGAATAGATACGGTGACAAATGAATAAATGGTTCACCTTATTTTCATATAACATAAAAACTACTAATATGTACTAGTAATATGCGAACTACTAGATTTAGTTGTATAACTACTAGTTGTAGTTGGAATTAAATCTAGCCTCACGTGAAGTTAATGTAGCTTGCCAACAGTGAAAGAATGTTTCAAATCGGTTCAGTAGTTTCGGAGTTTATTGAATGAATCTTTTCTCGTTGTAACATTAGTATAGATAAAAATACACTGAATTATTAGACGACTACTTAAAAAATAAATAAGTAGCGATTTAAACAACGAAATACCTCATAACAATTAACGTTATATTTACGAGGATATTTTAGTACCAGATGTAAAGTTGCTTCTAAAGCAAATTGACTCACAAATAGTTCAAAACAACGTTTTCATGTCGGTCAGACGCACTGCTGTCTTATTTTGCGTGATTTATTAAAACTGTTCTAAAACAAGCTTTCAAGTGCTTCCAATGTTACTACTAACGCCATCTATGAACGGATTTAGTCACAAAAAAATTGTTTTCGTATATTAATTTAATTAATTTCAATTAGACTTTGTTCTTTTTTTACAGACGTTAAATTAGCAAATTCTTTAGCAAATTTAGCTTTTTTTACCATGTTTTAGACATTTGGTATATTTAAAAAGCTTTTCAAGTAATGAGAGTGACTGAGTTTTGTTCCTCCAAGGCGTATGACCTAGTTTTTCTTTATAGTTAAACGAAGTTTTTTAAAAGTGGTACCGTCGACTCTTTATTTACTTTAAGAAATTGCTTGGATAAGAAATAAAAAAATAAGTTCAATTGAGCTTTCTTTATTACTAAGTTGGTTTAACTGTGCTTTGCCGAAGGCCAAATTTTACACCTTTTTTTAATTTATTTCTTGTAAGTTAGAGATGAAATACATCGCGTATTTACAGATGTTGGCGACGGTGATGAACTGCAGATCTCGGTCTGATATTAAAATGTACTTCACCGAGTAAGCACACCAAACATTTAAATCCAATGTTTCTTTTTGTTCTACCGTAAAAAAGAAAAACAAACTAAAAACATCTAACCTCCCATAAAACTCTTAAACTATTCACAAACATTAAAACGTTCTAAAACGCATTTAAATAACCACTTCTAATGTTTTTCTTCTAAATCAAAGTAAATTAATGTCCGTATAGCCTCAACCTTACAACCTCAAGTTCGGAATTATTGCGTTTGATTCATTTATACGTATCGTTTATGACAAAAGTAAACATTTTAAAAGCCCTAAAACCACAAACAAATGTTACCGCAACATAGAGTAACCACTACATTTGTACGCGTGACTTCTCTTTGTATTTTTTTCTACACAATGTTTTATTGTAACCACAGTATCGGCTACTATCTTTAAAAGGAATGTGTTTCTTAACCATTTGTTAGCTATTAAAGTTTTGAGTAGACTTTAGATTCGTATACTGTTTAAAAATATAATTTACTATAACCTCGCAACTCCGTTCACGCAGAAATTAAAAATAACTTAATCTAGCTTTTTCAGACTATGTTCTATATCTATGCCAAATCTAATAAGATCTTTTGGGCCGTTTTGGAGATATCTTGTAACAAACATCCATCCATACATCTTAAAATTCGCATTTATATTAGTAAAATAGTGTGAAACGTACATCCGTTAATTGCAGGAGTAAATCAATTTGAGACAGATTGTTCCAATATTATAATTACGGAATTTCTGAATCAGACAGTAAATTGTTTATTTTCATACAAGAAACAAGGTAAACTTTATATTAATGTATAACAAGAGAATAATTCTCTTTAAAAAAAACAATTATTTTTGACATACAAGTAAAGCTTCAAATATTCATAAGTTCTACGACCATTATTTGATATGGAAACAGAAAGTTTTGCATCGCTTCAGTAAAAAATACACCTTCTATAGTATACCGATGATGTACGCCAGTAGATTTCTTTTGAACTGATTATTAACAGTAGTATGAATTTGGACGTGGTATTTATAAGAAATCAACTTTGATCTACAAGTCAGTCGATGTACGAGAAAGTAATGAAACAGATTATATTGTGGTGATGATTGAAATGCTATGGCTCTTATCAAACCTTAGCTTTAAGCTGTAAGCATATAATTTGGTTTTTAAAAAAATACTAGCTGTCGCCCGCGACACCGTTAGCATGGAATTAAATAAATTTAATTAGTAGTTATCTATACTAAATTTCCATGCAGCGGTTCTGGAGATACCTTCTTACAAACATCCATCCAAACATTCAGAATTATAATAATAGTATGATGAAATTTAAGTGAAAATAATTTATTAGCTATAAGCATCTTAATAGGAGATAAATGGGTTACGTGAAGGGTGACATTATCAAGAAGGGAGTGTCGACTGAAAAGTCGAATGATAGAATTATTTTAAGGACCAAAATCTTTTGTGCGGACTTCACTTAGAGAGACATCTTATTTTTTTAATAATCGGTCTAAATATATTAACTTGGGTTTTTGTTGGCACCATAAGGAATGTCTTTCTCATCTTATGATGCTCTCTGATTATTTTTATACACAAATCGGTGAAAATCCTAAACCACATGCCACATTTCGTTGACCGCTTAAAGGAAAATTTTTAAACATATTTTAGTTATATTTCGACCCGATTGCAACATATTTTCCGAGCACACTTATAACAAACCAAAGATTCTCCACCACTTTCATAATAAACTGCGCGAATGTCTGTCGGGTCGTTCGCTCTCGATTCTGTTTGATGTCGTATCGCACCTTATAAACGTTCCCGATTATTCCCGTTCCCTGGAAACAGTTACAATTACTCGACTATCGTTCTTCGCTCGGGCGGCGTAAACACTATTTTTTATCGTGTGGTCCAAGTTTTATTAATTAAATTAATTTTAATATAGATTTTTTATTTCAGATTAACTACTATAATAATCTTACTAATATTATAAATGCGAATTTTTTGAGGGATGGATGGATGGATGTATGTTTGAAGTATCTCCAGAATGTCTGCATGGATTCAATGTGTGGCATAGATGTATATAAAACATAGCTAGGAAGAATACATAGGGTTCTATCTTTTTTTCTATTGTTCGAAGACAGAGTCGCCGGCGACAGCTAGTAATGTTATATTAAACATGTATAAATGTATGTAATTATTTACGTAAATAGCGAAAAAGGTTTATTCCTAATGAAAGATAATCGATTTTTATAAGAATCGCTCCTCCTATGAGCTCCGCTGTCTGCTTACATCTTGACCACATAAACAGTCACCCATATTATACTGTCCGTTTCGCGGCGTCTAGTGTAAACACGCTCTCTTTTTGTCCTAAGTGATCCGGCTCTGGTCAACGTTGATTTTTATATCAAATAAAGAAGTGTACACATGCGATTGATAGTTCTATGTATTTTAAGGTATGAGATAAGAAAGTATTTATTTTAAGAAACTTTTTGATTTACTTTATAAAATTTTAATAGAAATCTATCTAGCATCATAGCCTACTCGTACAACTTAGTATAATCGTTATTAAAATCTTAAAGTTCAACTCAATTGAGACTCGTATACATCATCCACTTTTAGGGCATCGTTAAAAAAAATTTCATCGTAACATAATTTTCATTAACAAATTAAAATTCAAAAGTAAGTAGAAAATTATACATTATTATAATTAATTTATGCGCGTTGATATGTTAAAGAAATGTTAGCTTTTCTTTGATAATGTTTGTCCATCCGTACATAAATTGTGTACGGACATTGTGCATTCTCCTTAACCCGAAACGGCGGACATTATTTATTTTGAAAAGCGTCCGGATATTTGTTTGGATTAAAAATATTTCTGGCTACACTTGCACACGACACTGTACGAAGTATCGCCCTCCGGACTGGCCGCTTTGGAACAGGCGCGTGCCGCTAGCCACAAATATAGGCTGGGCGCACACCAAGAGAACGCTCGCCGCTAGTATAATAGGTAGGGTGCACACATGCATCCGATTAGGTTTTGTTAATTCATGTTGCTACATATATGCCAAATTTCAGCGAGATCTATGCGGCCGTTCTGGCGATACCTTCAAAAATCATGCATCCATCCATCCATCTATCCGTCCAACCAAATATTCGCATTTATAATATCAGTAAGTAGATTCTTCATTACGGCCTTATCAGGCCTTTCAAAGCGGATTGTCACAAATAGGTTTGGGCGTAGGTGTTTCTTTGTCTTACATTGTCGACTTTAAATTGACTGATACAATTATAAATATTTTTAATAATCTACAATCATGTGTACAAAATGATCGTTTCATATTACTAATGATCAATTAAGTAGACAAAGCGAACGTATT